TTTTTTTTTCTTTTTTTTTCTTTTTTTTTTATTTAACTTTTCTCTTTTCCTCCAAAAATTTGAATCATCTTATTCCCTACCTCTTTTCTTATTTTTTGATTTATTTTTGATTTATTTTATTTATTCTGAAAATTCAAAATTTTCTGCGGCACCCTAAAATCTGATCAGGACTTAGCCATTCTTGCTTTCGGCACACATTTTGACCCCGTGGGGGTAACGAAGTGCTGCCGAAATTTTCTGTTTTCTTCATACTTAGTTTTTTTCAGCACATTTTGACCCCTTGGGGGTAGCGAAGTGCTGGCATAATCTTCTTATTTTTCTTTCTTCTTCACGGCACACTTCGACCCCATGGGGGTAACGAAATGCTGCCGAAATTTTTGAAAAATTTCAAAACTTAGCTTCACTCTTCTCCACCTCCTTATTTATTTATTTATTTACTTATTTATTTTTTTGAAAATTTTAATTTGCGGCATTTTGAAAGTTAGTGAGTTCCTCTTGCACTTTCCTTCCTCTTGGCACATTTTTGACCCCATGCGGGGTGGGAAAATGCTACCGAAAATTCCAAGAAAATAAATATTCTCTCTCTCCTCACTCTTTACATTTTATTTATTTTTTTATTTTTATTTATTTTTTTAATTTATTTTTATCTCGAAATTTTATTGTTTATTCTATTTTCTTTCCCCCCCCCCCCTTCCATATTATCTTTTTCTTGATTAGGTCGCCGCTACCCTCCTATAACCACTTAAACTCCGGTTAGGGTTTTCTTAGGGTTTAGGGTTCTTCTAAAACCCCTACTCTCCCGCCTCCTCCCGTCGGACACTCTGGACCCGAACGGCTCCTCCCCCCTAGAGCGATCTGGCGCGTTCTTCGCACGCGCGACCCGCCAAATGCGGGGTGAGCCGACTCACACATACTCACTCCGCTCCCGCGGTCTCCTTCCTCTTACCGGCGGGCCCCTCTCCCCACACACCCCCGTGAGCTCTACCTCCCTTTCCCTTCCGACCATGGAAGGGAGTTCCTTTGAGGAGATCGCCGCGGCGCCGTCCACCTCCCAGGTGAGCGTTCAGCCAGCGGGTCAGGGTCAGACCCATGCGGACACGATGGACCTTCATGCCACCCTCGTAGCGATTCAGGCGCAACTTAGTACGCTTGGACCGTTGCAAGCGCAAATCAATGCGCTTGCCCTTGACGTCAACCGCCTCAAAGGCTCTCCTCATCACTCTCCCCACCGCTCCCATACCCCATCCCCTACCGGCTCCGAGTCCGGCTCCCCACGACTCCAGAGTCGGACACATCGTGGTTCCCCCTCCTCTACGGGCCAGGCCCAACACTCCCCCGCAACAGTGGCGAGTGCTGCTGCCGCTCAGACCACCTCGTCTGTTGCGGCAGTTCTCCCGGCCACGGCCGCCCCTACTGTCTCTACTATTGCCGTAGGGGCTGCGATCCAGGTACCGCCTCGAGGCCCAGCAGTTGCATCGACCCACACCGGTGTTGCTTCCCAGCTTCCCGCACCGGTCGCGGCAATACGGCTCCGCCCTCTTCTTCCCGCCTTTGTCCCCCCACCCCCACAGCAGGGTACCGCCCAGGGTGGGATTCCTCCTCCCACTGGGAGACCCGCTCCGCCCCCTCCACCTCCGACCCCGCGCACCCAGTGCGTGGCCACTTTACAGGCCACCATTGCGCAGGCTCAGGCGGAGATTCTCGCTCTGAGACAGCCTCACCCATCACAGGCTGCCCACCCTTCTTCCTCTACCATCCCTTCGGTCCCCATGATGCAGGCTCGTTTCCCTCGACCTGCTCCTCAGCCTCTTCCCTCCTACCTGGCTATTCCGGGACAGCTGCCCGCGGCTGTTGCCTCCTCGTCTGCTGGTCCATCCGCTAGCGGCCACGGCCCACAGCCTTCCCCCACCTCTGCCCCTGCAGCGACCTCGAGTTACGCTGCCGCAGTGCACTCGCCTCGATCTCCTTCCCCCCGCCATCAGCACAGTGGACATCCTCCTGTGCGCACCACGAACATTCCCGAGTATGATGGCACAACCCGTGTCTCTCGCTGGTTGCAGATARCAACGCGCACGCTCTCYATKACGACCACCCGTYAGGAGTTGTGGTGCGATGTGCTCGCAACCAAATTGCGAGGTAGCCCTTCCACTGCGTGGGAGGATCATTATACCCAGCGCCTCCGCGTGGGTGAGGTCCCCACTCGGGCCGACTTCGCGGCCTTCCTTCAGGACCGTTTCGACGCTCGTCATGGCGCCACCGACGCCTTAGACCGCGTCACCCAGGGTCCGGGTCCTCTGTACCGGCCGACCTGGAACGTCACATCCGGGTGTTTCAGGACGCTCGCCTTGTTTGTGACGAGACGTTCCTACCGGAGGTCACACTCATCGACCGGTTCCTTGTCAGCTTGCCGACTGACTATCGCCTAGAGCTATGGAGGCGATCATTCTCTTCCGCGGAGCAGGCATACGAGGCTGCGCGTCAGTACCAGAGGATGTGCAGTCGCTTCTCCGTCGCCCCATCCTCTTCGCGGCCAGCCGCTCAGTCTCGGGGTACCACCCGAGGTCGCTCCTCGTTTGCTGGTCGTTTTCGTCGCCCGACCCGCCCTGGAGCGTCATTCTCTCAGCGCTACAGTTCTCTGGAGTACGGCGAGGACGCCTCGGCCGAGTTTGACCCTACCCTTGGGGACGCCCCCGAGGACATCGAGCTACGAGACGTCATCCAGTATCACTTGGATGACGACACTGTTCCGGTGGCCGAGTGCTTG